CAGGCGTTTTGATAGCTATCATTAGCCATTTAGCTGACTTCGGGCTTCACAGAGGGAAGGTTCATCAAAGTAGCAGAAAGTCGAGGGGTGGGGAACAGAAGAGCGATTCACAGATGTAAAAGAGGCAGACAGACACAAAGGTAGAGAAAAAGGTAAGGTGAGTACTGTAAGAGGGGTCGAATATGACAGCCAGGGGGGTCGTGGTAGTTTGAAGTCAGAAGTCAACTGGCAGTTAATAGACTTTTTTGTCGTATGAGTATGCGTTGCCCAGGGTGCACCACGTGGAGGTAAGTCTATCGCACACCCCAGTTTAAGTAAAGATAATATTAATGTCAATAATTAGTGTCAAAGGGACCAAAATCGCCCTTAATTAATGAGAGAAATAGACTTTCAATGATTACTAGCTTTTCTTATCCAAAATATTAGCCGGGGAAATAGCGCGATTAGGACTCGCATAAGAGAATGAGTCAAAACGGTTAAGGAGTAAATTTAACTGTGAAAAATAATGAAATTAAACTCAACTTACCAGATTGTAACAAAAAACTCCACTCCCATTAGCTGTGTAAACATAAACTAAGAGAACTTGGCAAAATATAATTCCAATTAGTTAAAATTATAGGAAAATTCGATTCTTAAGAAGAATGGAGAGTAAAAACTTAGTGAATCGACATTCAATGACTAAACTTAAGCACCTAAGAAATTAAGATTATAAATAATAAATCAAAAAAATAAATAAAGAGCGATTTCAGGTACTTCGAAAAGTACCTTGAAGCTTATTTTGTAAATAAAATATAAGCCAACCACTAACCTGTTCAACCAGATCACCGGCAGCTTCTCTCACGATCTCATAAAAATCCCTTTCGAATTCCAAATGACTATCTGAGGCCGACATATCCGGTAGCCAAAATGAGATATCCATCGGGCAGGGAGGGTAATTACTCACAGCCTTGAAAGTAATTGGTTTATTAATATCATCGACTTTGAATTGATGTAGAAAACCCTCATCTTTGGACCAAAAGAGTCGAATGTCTGGAATTCCGTAGAGCTTCATTGCCCATCGCTCCAAACCCAAGCCAAAAGCGTATGCCACTTTGTCGCTTGCTCCACCTAAAGACAAGTATGCAAGCTACTGAAATAGATTTAAGTAGACATTGTTTTGTGAAATAAAACGTACAGTGATCGAGAATTTCTTGCCGAAGAATTCCACAACCCAGCATTTCCGTCCACCCATCAGTGTCATTTCCAGTTACCATGCCCGTGTGAACTTCCAATTCAAATGAAGGATTTGTGAAAGGGAAATAGGCGGGAACCCACCTGATAGGAGTATCTAGAAATAGGTAACGAAAGACCATGTTATGGAGACAAAATTCGACCAAAATTTTCTTCCCTCTATATTCCAACGAATCTAATCTAATAAAAGTCATTACACAGCAAGAGTTTTTTCCCAAAGGACTAAGTAACTATAATCTCCAATTTGATAGCATACATAGTTACCTACGGTTGTTTAGAAACTGAAAAAAAACATGGGAATTTTAGGTAATATACTCGAATAAATTGGAAGTAAAGCTCTATTAAGGCTTCCTCTCGAACCCCATAACTTAAAAAAAATTGTTACTAATCCATAGGAAAGAAAGTGGAGAAAAAACAATTGTCACAAAATCGAAATCTCTTCTTGGAAGATATCAAACCTCAAGTATTCAAAATGCCGAGATTTGTGAAGTTTTAAGGAGACAATGAAGTGAGGAAATAAGTAGTTTATTAAAAAAACCAAAAGGAGGAATCTTATTCAAAAAATAAACAAATTGAAACGTCCGACCTTTGCCGATTAGACAAAAAGAGACCTTTTACAAAAGTAAGATTTATGGTCTACGCTTTTAACGTAAAGATAAAGTTGACTAGGAATACGATTCATTAAATTTGAGAAAAAATTAACTACAAAACAATTAGAAAGTCGACTTATGGCCTAATTAAAATCACTAACCTTTGCCAAATAGATTAAGGGCCAGATCTTCCAGGACACTCTTCAGTTGAATCTCCAGAAGGCGGGCAGTTTCAGGAGAGTGACGAGGCTGCCGGCCATCGGGTAGATCAGATGACGGTGGAGCTTCAGACAGTGGGGGCAAAACTGCAGGAGCTTCGAAATTGAAGAGGTCAGAGGCATTGCTCATACCGGGCACATCTTGAAAGAGCTGAAATTAAACAATGCATAATTCTGATGCCTCAAATTCTAGGGACCACACTTTCCATAATTAAGTGAAATAGCAAAAAAAATTCATAAAAATGATACACTTGTGCCAAAAAATAACCAATGGAATAAAGGAGTAGAGCTGAGTACAAAAATTAGATCAAAGAAAAGACAACGCAATGCAGGAAGATTAATTTGACCCATGAATCAATTTAAACTACTTTTTTTGAGACGTGATTATCGAGTCATTTTGCATTTTTGCGTTCCTTAGTGCTTAAGCGATGCAACAACCGAATCAACCAAGAACTTCATGCTCAAAAAATGGTCAGTTAGGCCAAGGCAAAAACGTTCACACCCGAAACACACTCAAAGACTTAGTTTAAGTCTCCAATTAAGCCAAAGAAGAAATAAAATCAAGTTGGCGTATTAAAAGTTTCAACAATAGTTACCTCTTCTTTGCTGAATAGTCGAACACCTTCCAATTGATGAAAAACAGGATAATGAAGGGCGTCAATATCATCTCGACGATAAACATCACCAACCGTAATGAAGGCGTTTAACCCAGATTTGATCAATTCCATTTCATGAGCTGAGGTGTGACTACGAAGGCAGGTGTTCTGATTGATGTAATATGTATCAGTAGGTCGACGGCTAACGTGATCAGACCTAACAAGAAGGCTATCAAAATTCTGGAAGGTCGAGACTACTGGACTGATTGAATCGAATACAGAAAAGAGTGGCTTCCCATCGCGTCGGCTGTGCCCTGAGCGCTAGCAAATAACCACGATTACATGAAGTAGAAAGACGAACCCTGTAAAAGAAATCGACTATCCGTTGTTTTATTAACCAGAGGGGGTGATGCTCTTGATTATGCAAGTTGCGAGAAATGAGATCAAGAGTTTTCGGGGAGAGATTATACCATTTATCGGTTTCGTATTCTACTGATCGAATGCATACTTTCTTGCTGGATTCACGTGAAATAACAGAGGTGGAACACAAAAGTTGTACCTAAGAGTGGTCCAAGTAAGTAATCAACTAAATAACTTACATTGATTGAAACTTTAGATCTACAATGCAAAATTTGCAATGCTTTCAACATTTATCTGTACTAAAATTACAGGAAAATATTGATAAAATAAAAAATGTATTTAATATTGACAAACAACGCTATGAGCTGACGAAAATACGAAAATAGTCATTTGAATAAGACTAACGTAGGCTCACACTTTTAGCAGAACACCCTATAAGCTCAAGTTACCCTCCGGGTATTAAAAATAATTAATCAACCATTTGATAATGTTGTTATAATGAAAATTTTCATATTCATTTAATTTAATTTATTTCTGCCTTTACGGCGAATTTAAATTTTATTTGCCGAATTTTAATGGTTTGACGGATATTTTAAAGAAATATGAAAATTCTTTCATATTAATATTGATGAAACATTTTACTTTTAATAGTTTAAGCAAAAAAATTATTGATGCTATTATTGACTTGTGGGACATGTTAAATAGTATTGATCTGAGTCATACTATTTTTCATCGTTGGATATTTAAACCCATCAGGTAGATTGTTACGTATTTAGCGGATACGATTTGTTATGCCATAGATTTTTGATCCGAATTGCAGTCCTTAGTTTAAAGATAATCGGTTCGATAATATGTTTTGAGTACCTAAATTGGGATGGCAACCATGCCATCTCAGTCCGTTCTTCTCTCCAGAAATAGGAAGAAGTAACTATTTCAAAGGTGACTAAACAGATTTCTGTTTAACTTATTCAAGATAAAAATAATTTAAAAATGTTAACCAGAAGAATATAACATAAAAACAATTATATAAACTCAGCGGCTATTTATTATTCTATTTAAGCTATACATTATTTTTTGAAAGAGTTATATATATATATATATATATAAGTTTCAAAAAATTCGGAGCTATTATTTTCATTTTTTTGTGACTATTTAAGCTTTAAGTCGAAATAATGTGTCATTTTTTGGAAGCAAGAGAAATCAATTGATAGTAATTTCGAAAAATAGCTATGGCATAGGTATCAATAGACCAAATTTGATTTATTCCGTGAATTGAGCATTCATGTGTCTGAACCAAAAGTTGGAGACTCTAGAGCTAGTTGATTGGTTGCTTATCGGTGAGCAGTGTAAAAATGATTTTACCCATTAGTTTGCTACTTATGCTGCCCTAGATATCAGGACTGTCATTTATTTATTTATACCAAATGGCAGGCGTTTTGATAATTATCATTAGCCCTGGAGCTGACTTCGGGGCTTCACAGAGAGGAGAAGGAACATCAAATTGACAAAAAGTGGAGATGGGAGACATAATAAGAATTCATAGAGGTAAAAGAGACAGACAGACACAAAGGCATTTAAAAGGTAAGATGAGTACTGTGAAAGGGATCGAATATGACAAATAGTCGGACCATAGAAGTTTGAAGTCAGAAGTCAACTGCCGATCAATAGACTTTTTGCCGTATAAGTATACGTTGCCCAGTGTGCACCACGTGGAGGTAAGTCTATTGCGCATAATGATGCTCTAAGTCTCAGTGATCACGGAATTGTTAACGTTGTCAAAATGAGCACTTCACCCAAATACATGACCTAATAATGTAATAAAAACTTCCTGATGGCTCTTATTTATGCATAATTGAATTTTCCGGTTGTAAGCGTTAGAGTAATCACCTTGCGTGAAAATATGTATTACCTAGACTGTAAAGTGCACTCTGGTTGTTTTAATCATTCAGAAAGAACGCAGAATGGCTGGACAGATTAAAGTACAGCTTTTAATGAAGCTAGTTCTTAAAAACGCGAATGGAATAATCTTTCCATTAATATAAGGAAAGTTAGTGATGAGTAACACATGTGAGTGGTTAAATTGTAATTAATTGGACATTTTTCAATAAACTGCGAAACGCCGATTAAAACGACCTAACTTTGGGGCAGTTTAAGTTCATGTATTTGAGAGATTATCTCCTGAATGCAGGGAAAAACACAAATTAGTGCGTTCCTTTGATGGGTAACATCTACCCACTGGATTAACACTAATTTAACACCCCCAGGAGGCTGGTTACTTAATTAGGGATTAATAATTGCTCGTAACAGATTGCTGCACTAATAAGCATTGACTGTACTCAGTAATCCCTATGGCAGATTCTCCTTAGGTTTGGAAAGGCTCCCAGAACCAAATAAGCTACCGCAAAGCTCTAGAGGAAACAGACATATCACGTGGAACGCATTTATTTTGAATGTGTATACGGTGCGTTTTCAGATAAGGCGCTTTGTCACGATATTAATATAACAGATTTGATAGACCAATCGAGGACTATTGATTGGTGGTTGGCTATGTGTTCGTCGCACTCACGACCGCACCTACCCCCTACGCGAAGTTGCACCGCATCTTCATGCCTGTTTTTGTGCGCGCATGAGACTACTTATTCAGGGGAGACAACATTGTGTGCCCGGGGTGTGCGATAGACTTATCTCCACGTGGTACACCCTGAGCAACATATACTCATACGGCAAAAAGTCTATTAACTGGCAGTTGACTTCTCACTTCAAACTACCATCACCCCACTCTATGTCATATTCCACTACTTCCAGAGTACTCACCTCACCTTTTTTCTACCTTTGTGCCTGTTTCTTTTACACCTTTGAAACACTCTTCTCTTCCCTCCCCCCTGTAGACTTT